GCTCATTTACGCACGTTTCCTGAAGATAGAAGAGTTTGTTGAATCTGACGTGACATGTTCGTACGAACCCTTTGTACGAACAAAAGTAATAGAAATTTAGGAGAAGAATACGAACATGTTCTTGCATGAGGCCCAATGTTCCTAACTTACATCTTTTTTTCCTGTTTCGTGTGGTCAACTATTCCTTTACAGCATCTTTTAAAACTGATGCTGGGGATTTTTTCTTGTACTGATGGAGTTTTACTGTACAGCAGCATTGTACAGCTATAACACAAATCAGCACAGTTTGCAGGGTAAGGAGGTGTAATGCACACATGCCAATGAAGCGCATGGAAATAAGACGAGCCCACACTCCTCTGTGATTGCATAACAGCCCCAACAAGAGCAACTCGTCACCATGGGAACCGCGGGGAGGTGAAGCAGAATGCCGGGGCTTTTTTAGCTGCAGTTTACAGGAAAACAGTGCTGTTTCAAGTTTCACAGGCTGCAAAAAAAATTGATAGTTGGGTTTAAACGCCTCCTCCTCCTCTCAGTCTCTGCTTTTAATGAAGCCCCCTTTTTCAATGACGCACAAAGAGTGTTTTATTAGGTCTTTGCTGATTTGTGGACAGTTGTAATAAGGAGAGCGTGAAAGCAAGCTGCGCTCCCGGAYGCATCCACAGGAGGTGTTGGAATGAGGTCGAGGTTGTTTGTCTATGAGTTACCAGGGTGTTTGTGTCCCCGCTTTTGTTTTGTTTGCAGGTGTTTAAAGACGAGCTGGAGGGACTGATCCAGGACCAGCTGACAAAGGGCAACAACCCCTCTGGCCTCCTAGCCCTGAGGCAGATCGCTGACCTGGTCATGGCGAGCACAGTGGGAGGGGCTGGCCCCTTGACGTCTCCCATCAGTGAGTGGTAGCGTGTGTGTGTGTGTGTGTGCACATGTATCCGTCTTTGTCTCCTTTGGGGCCTGATGTGTGTATCCTCTGGCTGTGTGCATCACACAGACTGATTATCCTCATTGTTGGAGGCTGAATCCTCCGACTCTTGTGACTCTGAACAGCCCTGAAACTGCAGGAAAGGCAGAAAGTTGTTGACAGCGTTTGCCATTGTCAGTGCAACCCTCATGACCACTCAGCAAAGAATTATGGCAGTTTGCAGGGGTAATTATGTTAGCGTGACCTGCTGGCTCACAGATAAAGTAAATGTTTGGAACATATTATAAAGGAAGTGGCTGTGAGGTTGTTTATGCAAACTGGTCTTTAAGAAGGCCAGAGTGGCTGTAAAAGACCAGGTTCTGCATCATTATATGGCCTTATATGGTATTAAAGTCCAAAAATACTCTTTGGTTTAATGTTGGGAATTCTGGAGGCTCCTTTTTAGTCTTTAGCTGTGGATACTCAAGTTCTCTAGAAATTGGTTTTCTTATACTTTTTACATTTTTATTACCCATCACTCAAAGGCAAAAGTGGGTAATAATGTTTTTGGCTATGTYGTGTCTGTGTGGTCGTTTGTTACCAAAAGATCTCATGAACCACTGATTGAATTTTGAGGACAATTTAAGGAAATAAACTTTGGATGTGTGTACAGTATGTGATAATATATTGTAGCCAACCCAATTCAAGATGGCTGCCWCAGCCAACTAAACTTAAAAATAGAAAGGTGGCTATACTTCAGTCAGTTTTACAGGTACAGAGTTAAATTGTAATGTGTGAAATCTTGCAGTGTTGTGAAAGAAATTYGTTAATGTGTTTGTTTTCCTTTTTACGTGTTTGAGCCAGATAGAAAATACACCAATTTATGAATGTTGAATGTGAAAAGAGTTAATACAACACCACACCGGAGCGCTTGTCTGAAGCCAGTTTATTCTCAGTGCTGCATTCAGGRCCTTTTTTCAGGAAGTCACATCATTATAACAGCGGCTTCGGGACCTGACTCTGCCTGTTTTATTGCGTCATTGTAAATGGCCCACCTACGGTTGAAAGTCAGGTCCACATGCATTTTTCCTGTACTAATGAAAATCAACGGTTCAGTTATGTGTTGAATATGTGTTCAGGCATGTATCTGATCTATTAATACCTCCTGCCCTATGTAACCATAATTTATAGTTACCCAGATCAGTCTGTACACAAAATAATCAATTTAATCACGGAACTACTGTAGTCACAAAACATTCATAAAAATTTACCATTTCTTCACCTAAGAAAAATATATATAAAATGTGAAATGCCTTTAAAAGTCAGTAGTAAACAACCCCAATAAATTTCTTCAATTGCATGAAATTTAGTRTAACATTATTCTCAAGGTTTGACCAGAACACACATGCATTCCTTTAAGAATTACTAGGCCTTTTTATTTTTAATGTTTTGGCTGTAGACCAATGTCATAATAATTTGGTGAGTGGGGATGGACAAAGAACCCATATCATAAGAGGGCCCATTGCTCTCCGTCGTGATAATGTTGCGTGTCGTTGCAGGCTTTGGAATGGTGACTCCGGTCAATGATCTGTACGGCATTGAGACACCCTCCTTTGCCAAAGGAGAGAAACAGAGTCGCTGCAAGCTGGCCACCCTCTACAGGCTTGCTGACCTCTTCAGCTGGGCTCATTTTACAAGCTCCTACATCACGGTGAGTACAACCCAGCGGCCACGCTCCACTACACACCTGCTTACTTATGCAGCGCAWGGTTTGTGTTTCTTCAACAGAGCGTTGGGTTGCCTTGTTCTTTGATGTGTTGTAGAGGAATGTCTCCTTTTCTTTTCTGAATCCATAAATTATAAATTAATCAATTATCCCATAAGAAATGAGGTTGCATGAGCAAATTACACTGTGAAACATCCGATGAACTGGTGTCATTTTAATTTGTTTCATCAACCAACACATTTTGGATTTTTGAGAGCAGAGACTTTTTCCCCCGTTTCGAAAAGCTGCAAATTTTGCTTTTTTGACCCTGACAGTAATTAATTTCTTGAAGAGTGTTTAAAAATACTGACATTACTCATGCAGGTAATTTGATTTTTGGCCTTAAAAAGTGAATTAATGAATGTCTTTGTTGGGTTTTAGGTGCGTGTCAGTAAAGAGCAGGACCATGTTCTTATCAGTCCACGAGGTCTCTCGTTTGCTGAGGTGACGGCAGCAAATTTGGTAAGAAAGTTTGTGTCAGATTCAAGGCACTTCCACGTTTTACTGTATATGTTCTTTACATTGCTTACAAAGTGTTGCCTTAAAGCCAAAGCATCAGTAGAACAATGTTTTGTTGTCAGCTATACCTGATGCCTCAAATCAACCTTTAATCAAATATGTCAGGCATTTCCAAATCAGTCTGACACTAGATCACATGTATCAAACTCAAGGCCTGGAAGCCAAATGTGGCCAACCACGGCATTTTATGTGGACCCCAAGACCTTCAAAAACGTATTAATGTCTTAAAATAAGTGTATGTTGCTTTAAAGCCACTTGGTGGAAGTGTACAGGGTTCAAAACCATCAAGCAGACGGTGAAATTTGCAGCGTAAAATCTCCATTTCACTGAATTTTCGCCAGCTGCTTTTGCTGCAGCCCATTTGTCCTGGGAAGTGGGAATTTCCCATTTTACAAGTCACAAATTTAAACTGAAACACCCCTCCAGTGGAAATTTCTTATCAGAAAGTGGGAGAGTTCAAAATCTCACTAAAACTAAGCAGTGAGTGAATCCATAAAAATGACATTTTACTTTCAATAGTATTTCATTGCTATTTATTTCACGTTTAGTCACACACACAGCCTTATTTATTTTATTATTATTTATTAAACCTTTATTTAACCATAAAAAAACCCATTGAGATCAAGACCTCTTTCACAAGGGTGACCTGGCCAAGACAGGCAGCAGCACGTCACAAATAATAATAATAATAATAATAATTTTCTTATGTGTACACAGCTTTTGTAGCAAACCATGCTTGCCAATTAAAAAAAAAAAAAAGTTTTCAAATTTCACTTGTCCACACTTCTATTTAAAGCTACAATACAAGAATGAAATGAAGTTTTCAAGAGAAAACATGAAAAACTCTATTCTGGTTTATTCAAGAGCATCTGTWATAAAGTGTCCATCAGTAATGGTGCAGGACTCCAGTGGGCACAGCATTAATGTTGTCACCAGTGAGTGTCTGCAGGCCTGTTCTGCAGATAACTGACCCACTGGGCTGCACATGGGCTGCTTACCTCTCTGTAACAAACGTTGATTAGCTGGGCTGCAGTTCCTCCTCCGGAAACCGGAGCACGTGTTTCCACAGGTGGCCAACACTGCCTGCGGACATCATAATTGGCCTTTGAAGGTTCATTTACCAGTAACATGGTTAGAGTTGAACTAAGCAGGACCAAAGTCACACTTTGTAAAAGGAAATGGAGTTACTRGATATATATTTTAGGTAATGTGTGTCAGAATGTGGCACAAAACATACATATTATGGAGCACAAAAAGTGACTTGTTGAGTTGATTCTTGAGTGTTTAAACCATTACCTTATTTGACAAAGCTGTGAAGAAATGCCTCACCCATAAAGATAAAATAATTAAATGTTATTTCAAAGTATTTTGGATATTAATGGAAATTTCTGCATTTTCAATTATTTTTAATGCTTATGTGCACACAGTTGTAGCCAATACAGACATATGTTTTTGTGTAATGACTTGAAATCTTATTGTGTTTTATTAAGACCCAAAACCCCCTCTCAGCTCATCATGCATGCACTCATACATTCAACACTTTGATGGCGTATTGACATTTCAACAGCCCTGTGCTCCCTGTGGAGTTAATAAGAATAACTAAACATTGACATTCTCTATCATCGTTCATCATGTTTAGATTGTTTTGTCATTGAAGCTAGTGATTATTAAACGAGAATCTACATTTTTGGACAACAAACAATCCAAGAAATATTGTTAAATGGCTGCTTGGGCTTTAAAATAGCAGTCAGCTGATAAAMCAGCAGCTGGTAGTATGGAATGCTCTGCAGCCCTAGAGGTCAGTGTTTTTATTTGACTTCCTGTTTATTTTGTGGCTTTTACACGGGGTTGCACATCCCTATTCACATGATGGGATACAAACTGTCGGGAAAACTCAGGGATATGAGATCTAAAAGAAAAAGTTTGAAAAATACGTAGCTTTGCCAAATGTTTTTCATGGATCACCATGCAGGATATTTTAGGCCTCTGAAGATATGGCATGGTTTGAATAAAAAATATTGACCAAAAACAAACCTTTGAATAGAAATGAAGGCAGCTGTGTTCATTTATTTTTGTTGGATCCAGATACCAGTCACAATAGTCATTCAAACAATGAATCTTCCTTTTGGGCTGACATTTATTGCTCCTTTACCCATGTTGCTATTTAATCTTATTTTTTGCCACATGTAGGTGAAAGTAAACATAATTGGCAACGTTGTGGACCAGGGTTCCACTGAACTGGGCATCGACCATTTTGGATTTGCTCCTCATGCTGCCATTTACTCCATGCGCCCTGATGTGAGATGTATCATCCATATACACACCCCGGCTACAGCTGCTGTAAGTACGCTCCAGTCACATTTCAAATTAAATTAAAGTCCTTGAAAGAAATGCATATTGTTCGCCCCTTTGTAGCTTCAAAAGTGACTTGTTATGTTAGCACATAGAAAGCGTATTTGGATGACTCTTAAACACTACATCAAATTTTAGCTCAACATCTGATTTTATCCCTTTTTGTTTTTGCTAGGCGTCAGTTCACGAGATATTTTGCTAACAGGCAGACAAAAGAGCATGCCATGCACAGAGGCAGTTACACAATCCTCTGTGTTTCATGGCGGTGGTTGATGATGATGAGCTTCCTTTAACCCACAGCATAAAAGCTGCTGCAGAGTCTAATGGTCAAATTCTTTTAGCCAGACATTGTATTTTACTTCTTTGGAAATCATCTAAAACACCTTCGATTTCTTTGTGGTTTCAAGATGTTATGTCATTTCTTAAATTGGAAAAGATAGGTTTTACAAAAAAAAGGCAACTATGGAAAATTTGATCAAATTTGGGGCTCTTTTCTGAACTATTGCAAGTCATTAAAGAACTTACCATCTGATTAATTGTATCTGTACATGTAGCCTATGTATTTATTTGAAAACTTGTGGTTTAATGTCTGCATAAAACAAAAAGAAAATATGGGAACAACTTGTGTTATGATTGTAACTGTTCACTATTTCCCTAATAAAGAAAAAAAAATTATAGGCCACTTCCTGCATGCCTGATTAATTGTTACAATTACAAACACCTTGTAACAGATTTTTTCCATCACTTTTGAAGCTTAGCTGTAAAATACGAAGCACGCCACGAGCAACAGTGTAGCCGTATTTTTATTTGTGCCCAAAATAATAATAATAATACAAAAAAAAAAAAAACTGTGCCTCTGTTAAGATGCTGGTGCATCACAGTCTCGGTTGTTTTTATCCCACGCTAACAGGTGTCCTCGATGAAATGTGGAATCCTGCCCATTTCCCAGGAGGCTTTGCTTCTYGGAGACGTGAGCTGCTTCTGTTACTATGGCAGCCTGGATAATAAAGAGGAGAAGGTGGAGTTTCAGAAAGCTCTGGGCCCGACTGCCAAGGTACCGTCAAACACTCCATTAATAGCGCTCTCGCTTTTAAATAAAGGTGTAGTAAGCTTTTTGAGGGAGCAGGTGGACAAATTTAGCTTCTGCAACCACTGATTAACTTTCAGCGTTTCTAATGTTGACTAGTTGGACAGCTGGGAGGTAATATGTGTGATTTGACAATATTTGAAATAAAATATACTTAAAAATCAGTTTAGTCACATTTATATGATTAGTTGTCCTTGTAGTTTCCATACATGTTTTTGTCAAATTACTATTCTAGTAATTACCAGTTTTTCTCTAACCGAGAATGAGCAAAGTACAAAACAGAGTACCGATACTGAGTACTTACAAAAAATTTATAATAATAATAATAATTATTATTATTATTATTAAATTTTTTTATTTTAACAAGGTGGCTCTCCTCCTCCTATAGGCCTGCAGCCCCTTTGACTGGATCCAATCAGATATAAAGCATGAAATACACTGTTGCAACATTTTAAAATAAATAAAAATAATAGGGTTTTCTTTAAACTTGTATAAATTTCTTAAACATAGAGCTGACAATTTTTTTCCTGAAATGAAAAGTGCAAAACATTTTATGGAGTATTGATACCAGAACCCCAGTATCAATTCTTGTATAGGTGTCGGGAGACCACTACTTGTAATTGTAATATTTTAACTATTTGCATGTCGAAATGTTCAGAAGTAAACAAATGAAAGAAAGATGTCTTGAAAATGAAAAATTCAAGGCGAATTAAAAAAGATTGACAAATATAGGAGTCTGTATCTGTGTTCAAACTTGATGTACTGTAATTAGCTGAAGGAAATGTAAACCAGTAATTACTCCCAAGCAGAAGAAAACAAAGTTACAGCAGATTAAAGATAAGCTGTCATAAACTTTAGATGATTGGGTTAAAATGAAACTCAGCAATGAGTTCTTTACCATCAACAGCTTGGCACCCCCTCCTCATTAGGTAGCAGAAGGAAGCTCAAAACAGTCAATAGCAGAATAAGCTGTTTGGTTTTATTTCCTGTCCACAGTGCAGTMCAGTAGGTAGCATTTATGCACCTTTTCCATTGGTTTGCCACCTTCCATAAAACAAAACAAGAAGAAGAAGCTGTTAGATGTTGGCGGAGAAGATATGGCGTCCATCCATTATACCTGTTCCTGAGTCAGGTCGCGGGGGAAGCAGCTTGAGCAGGGAGGCCCAGACCTCTTCTTCCAGCTCTTCTGGGAGGATTCCAAGGTGTACCCAGGCCAGATGAGCGACATAGTYCATCATGTCCTGAGGTTTCCTTGGGGTCTCCTCACAGTAGGACACGCCTGAATCACCTCCCTTGGCATCCAAGTGGCATCCTTACCAAAGTTATTGGCGAGTGATGTTAAGAATAGAGACTGGTCAATAAAGAGCTTTACAGCTCAGTTCCTACTTCACCACAACAGACTGGTACAGAGTCCACAATACTGCAGAATCCACACCAATCCGTTTACCAGTCTCACGTTTCAGTCTTCCCTCACTCGTGAACATAACCTCAAGATAATTCAATTCCTCCACCTGATGCCTCACCTCATCCCCAACCTGGAGAGAGTAATCCAGTCTTTTCTGAATGAGGACCATAGATTCAGATTAGGAAGTGTCGATCCTCATCCCAGCCATTTCACACTCAGCTTTGAACCGCTCCAGTGGGAGCCAAAGATCATTGCACGACGACCAACAGGACCACATCGTCTGTAAATGTATAGATATATATGTAATGTTTACTTACTTACTGACTTACTGACTTACTTACTGACTTACTGACTTACTTACTGACTTAGTGACTTACTTACTGACTTACTTACTTACTGACGGACTGACTTACTTACTGACTTACTGACTGACTTACTGACTGACTGACTGACTGACTTACTTACTGACTTAGTGACTTACTTACTGACTTGCTGACTTACTTACTGACTGACTGACTTACTTACTGACTTAGTTACTGACTTACTGACTTAGTGACTTACTTACTGACTTGCTGACTTACTTACTGACTGATTGACTGACTGACTTACTTACTGACTTAGTGACTTACTTACTGACTTGCTGACTTACTTACTGACTGACTGACTTACTTACTGACTTAGTTACTGACTTACTGACTTAGTGACTTACTTACTGACTTGCTGACTTACTTACTGACTGATTGACTGACTGACTTACTTACTGACTTAGTGACTGACTTACTTACTGACTTAGTGACTTACTTACTGACTGACTTAGTGACTTACTGACTGACTTAGTGACTTACTTACTGACTGACTTACTTACTTACTGACTTATTTACTGACTGACTGACTTACTTACTGACTTACTTACTGACTGACTGACTGACTGACTGACTTACTGACTGACTTAGTGACTTACTGACTGACTGACTGACTGACTGACTTACTTACTGACTTACTGACTTACTTACTGACTTACTTACTTACTTACTGACTTACTTACTGACTTACTTACTTACTGACTTACTTACTTACTGACTTACTTACCACTTACTTACTTACTTAC